GTAAATATAGACAATTCGTTTGGTTCTGTTTCCCATGCTGTCAGAGTTGCTTCCTGAAGAGCTATGATTTAAAGCCAGACAGTGCAGTAGGAAGAATATTCTTGGAAAACCAGGTGTAAGTTCAATGAGAAAAGAACTAAAAACACCTCCTCTAGAGTGGAAATGAAGGATTGGGCTAACAGGTTGGGACTGAAATTATGAAAGACCTTGAAGGTGAGTATAATTTAAGAATTTAGCATCAGAAGACTTATTTTTAACATTCATATTGTTATGGAAACCAAACATCTAAAATTTGTTTGCCTTCTGAATGTGTGCCATTGCATGTGATATACTCTTCGGTTTGAACTCATTTTCTTATTAATAGTCAAGGTTATGAGTTGTATTTATCAGAAAAAGAATAAAATCAGTTTTAAAATATTAAAACCAGGATACTTTTGATCCTGTCATAAAGGCTAGGTACCCTTATTTTAAATGATATTCTTGTTGTAATTGGAATTTTCCTGTCTAAGTTAAATGTAGAAAAGTAGTAACTCAACTAGTTCCTTCTGGTCTGATTGCACTTTTAGAATAGTAGGGTTTTTGTTGTTGTTGTTTTGTGGTTTTCTTTTTGCAGTACTGGGGATTGAACTCAGGACCCTGTGCTTGCCAGGCAAGTGCTTATTCTATTGAGCTATCTCCCTGGCCCTTAGAATAGCAGATTTTGTAGGGGGAGAATAGAAACTATTATCAGTACCTCAAAGGAAAAGAAAAATCTCCTAAGGCAGATGAAAGTCTACACATAGAGGTGATATTTTCTTGAGCATAAAATTTCACAATACATTTTTTTCTCTTCCTTTTTGGAATACGCAACTATAATACTTTTTTCTTATTCATTCTGAAAAGGCTTGCCTTTCCCTAGGTAGAATGTGAGATTAGAGTATGTAGATGAGAAGTTGTGAATACAACTATGGTTGTGTCCTGAGTTAGCATAAAATGGGGAAGCCTCTTGTAACACTTTGAGGGTGAACCTGTGTCCTCCTGTTTTCTGATATTGCATCTTTTTTTCCCCTTTTTGACATTATTGTGCTTCTTCATCTTTCTAACCTAACAACTGAGATCAGCAATCTTTTAACAAGCATGTGATTAGAAGCTACTTAAATCTCAGTATAAACTCCATTAGTTTCATTTCTTTACTTTTTTTTTTAAAGACCAACATTTAGTTACTTAAGACTCCAAAGGAGCATTTGCAGGACCCTCTAGCAAACAAGACCATATTTAGGCATTAGCAATTCTTGTTCAATTGTCAAGGAAAAACTGGGAAAGTCTGAGGGTTACGTGAGAACTGATGCAAGAAAACATATATAAAGGAAGCACAAAAGGCATTTAATTCTCAGATTACTTTGGGTAGGCAGGTGGGTATCCATGCTGAACGTTAGCATTTGGAGAATCTCAATGAAAGTAATAGAATTTTAGTGTTCTTGTACAAATGTTAGTAGATTTGAATTATTTTTCAAAATGCATTGTTACCCCTCCAAAAAACCCCTAGGATTGCTAGTGATTTTTTTTCCACATTAAAGTGAAGAATCCTTTTATTTATTTATTTATTTAGTATTTTTTAGGAAAGGGTCTGCAGGGTGTCCAGGGTCTCACTACTAGATCGGACTTGTAGTGATCCGCCTGTTTACAGCTTACCAAGAGCTGGGATTACAGGCGTGAGCCACCATGCCCAGTCTCATTTGCTGGCTCAGGAGGCCTGGTGATTGAACTCCTGCCCCTGTCCCTGCTTGCAGGTGCTTTAATCTACTGAGCTATTTGGCTGCCCCCCCACACCCTATTTTTTTAAACCAGGAATCAGACTCAGGATCTGCTCTTGCCAGGCAGGTGCTGTGCTGCTGATCTGTATTCCCAGCCCATCCTTTGGTATGAATGTCCTCCATTCTTTTTTCCTTTTTCCCTGATGCCCAGTGTTAACTTTAATAAAGACTGAATTTGACAGGCCAGTGACTTACCCAGCATGCCTAGCAAGAAAGATCATTCCACAAATCATCAATGTAGCTTTATTTGCAGCTCTTTTCCTCACATCTGAGTTAGTTCATGTTATTTTTCAAGTTTGAAGTTTCTTTTCCATGAAAAGGTCAGATTTGGGTTAATTACCCCAACCACACAATCTTTGTAGAATCTCTTTTCCACTGCTCAAAACTGCTGAGGTATAACCCTAATTACCTGCAGTGTACTTGGGCACTGCTTAATGCTTATATTGTCCGAAATGTTATTGTAAAGAAGTTATAGCTTTAGCCATAAGGAATGTCACTGACTGATGCAGGGCCTGACATACAATAAGTACTCTATTTTTTAAAGAAGTGATGAATGAATCGATGACAAATGGTTACTGGCCACCCACCAAGGTTTTAGACTAAGGAGGTACGGTGTATGTTTTGACTCAAGGAGTTTCATCTGAGTACAGGTTGTATTGTTACTCCCCTTTTACAAAGGGGGGAATTGAAGTTTAGGCAGCCTGTAGCTGAGTTAGGACTCTTTAACTGGGTGCTTCTCATCCAGTGTTTAAACATCACCTCGTCTGATTTTAGTCACTATACTTCCTATTTTCAGTTTATTGTAAGTTTAAAAGTAAGGTCCTCAGTTCTACTGATTATATGTCAAGTGCTTATTGACCATAGATAGTGTCTACTATCTTGGACAGCACAGAAAGGGAAAATTTTTCTTATTACAGAAAGTTCTGTTCAACAGTGTTACAAAGATTCTAGGGTTTTTACTGGAACTCCTCTTTTTCCCACCTCCGTTTTTGTCTTCCAGAGCAGATTAAATCCAGGCCTTTCACACTGAGTTACACCATACTCCCCTTGACACAGGATCTCCATAAATTGCTCCAGCAGTTGCCCAGCTAGTTCCCCTGTTGATGTCTTCAAACTTGTAGTCTTCCTGTCTCAGCCTCCTGGAGTGTAGAGATTTTAGGCATGTGCCACCATGCCTGGATAGAGCTTTTCTGTCGAGTGATGATTGAACCAGGGAGTTGTAACTCTTAATAGTGACAGTAGTGAAAACTTATTAAGGAAAATACCTTTCCGTGTCGCCATAGTTTTCAAGCAGCAGTGCTCTTACGATGAAGATAAAGAAAATATATTTGGGGCAAATGCAAAATACTAAGCATTGCTGAAATAAGACAAATATTTATAAGGGAAATGGTTCTGTCCGATTAGAAATTACTTCATTCATCAGCATCTCAGTATCAAAGGCACAGATGAGAAAAAGAATATACTTTTAAAGTATTAATTTTTGATGAAGCATTTTAAATACAAAGCATGCAGTTTTTAAAAATAATAGTTGGATATTTTTTACACAAATCCCAGGTAGGAATTTATAAATGGGTCATTTAATCATATTATTATAGAAATGTTTTCTGAATACAGTTTATAAGTTTGCCTGGTCTCTCTCTCTCCCTCCCTCCCTCCCTTTCCCTCTCCCTCTTCCTCTTTCTCCCCCCCTTCTCTCTCTCTCTCTCTCTCTCTCTCTCTCTCTCTCTCTCTCTCTCTCTCTCCTTTGCACAGGCTCAGCCTGCCTTGAGGGTAGGGCTGGCCTGCATGTGCTGCCGGGAATGGAACCACAGTTTCCTGTGCCTGCAGGAGCTTTAGCCTGCTGAGCTCTCTCGCTGGCCCTGGCCCCTCTCTTAATATGGCCATTTTTCAAGTTGGACTGCACAGACTGGGTGAGAACTTCACCTCCTTAGGGTTACATTGTTTGTCTGCCACCTAAAGAGACGATCCAGCTCCTGAGAACGTCCCTAGTAATTCTATCCTATAATTCATAGACTATGGCAGAGCTTAGGGGTCTGCTTCCTGGAACTTTGGCCATTTTTATCCATTGGAATAGGTGTGGGAAATATAAAGTTGAATGGGAATATGTACAGAAAAACTTGGATCTATATGGATCCTATTCGCCTAAATGGAAGAAAATGAAGAATGGGGTTATGTAGCCCAAGAAAGAGAAGGCCTATGGCTTGATTCAGTACTTGTTTATTAAAAAATATCATGATGTATTTCTCATCTTCAAAAAGTTATTATTTTTCAATTTAAAAAATGCTTATGTAGTGTCTGTCCTGCTGCTGCCCAGACTCTTCAAGGGTAATGTAGCATTTTAAATATTTCAGCTTCAATGCCAACTGAGAGCCAGAACGTAGTAAGATATTCTGCTAATACTTGCTAAATGAATAAACCAATGAAACTTCATCATATAAATATAATTATTTCTGACAGGCACATTAGAAAGTTGCTCATCTCAGCATGTCTCTGTATTGTTAGTATACCATAGTTATCCTTTGCTTTTTTCCCTGTAAGAGAGAGGGTTAAGCAGTTGTTTTGGATTTTTGCTTCTGGAAGTTTTGTGTTTTCTGGAGAATGTCATATATCCCAAACATGTGTTTAGTAAAATAGTAGAAAGGATGAAAATAAGTACATATAATATAAAATGACCTTTAAACAATTTTGGTTTCACTTCAGAAAATTACTAATTTTTCAACAAAATTAACCTTCCTGTTTTCTCATAACAAATGATTGATGTTCTCTGGAAATATTGCTTAAATTGGTTTATCATTGGAATCAAGAATGGCCCTAGAAATATCCTTCTGGAAAATATGTGAATTGTGTGACATGCTAAATGCTATTTGCCTATTTTGTGTGTTTAAAAAAAAAGAGATTTTAGAAATATACTATGTTGGATTTTAGAAACCCGGCATATCATGTTTTCTCTCACCTTGTCTTTCTAGGGTATAATTTCTTGGGGCTTGAATTTTACCTTATTTGGTACTTTATATCTGAAATATGTTTAGCATAGAGTGGGCACTTAGCATGATAATTAAACAGCAAATGCTTTTTAATAACAGGACTGTAGGGGCCTAATCTTGTTTGTAGGTTACTTAGTTTCTTGATTAGTTAAAGTAGTGCTATTGTCAGTAATTGCAAAATTCAATCTCATTTTTGCCACTTTTTTCTTTTCTTTTTTTTCAGGAAGAATCCCCAGCACAAGATAGAGTATAGACATAGTAGACCTCAGGGTAAGTTATTCTACTTCAGAAAGACTCTAAAAGAAACCTTTTTGTGAGTTTCATGTTAAACCTTGATACAATTTCCAGTTACTCTAAAACTTTTGTCTCTACTTCTGCGAGAGTGGTAAATTGCTGATTTTAGTGAATTTTCTTAAATTAAAAAAAACCTGTATCTTTTATACAGCAAATGTGACCCCCAATCATCATCTCACAGTAAAATTTTCCTTGTTATTTGTTAGAATTCTCTTGTTTCCTAGTTCCTAAAGACAAAATTTTATAGTCTGTTGATGAGAATTCATTGACTTCTATTAAGTGAAAAGTCCAGAGGTAGAACTGCATTTAAATAAGATTTACTGCTTTGACTCATTAATAATGTCAACAATATTGCCCAAAGGCCTGATTTCCTGCCATCATTCTGTCTTTAGAGAGGTATTACCATTCTGAGGCATTACGGGCCCAGCTAAAAGACTAAATGCGTCCTTACTGAACTGAGACAGTAATCCTTGGTGTTTCGAAGGAGAGAATGAACAACTTTGACCAAGATTCCTAGGAAAAGTAATGGAATTTATTCTTTTTTCTAACTTTGAATGCATTCCTGCCCTTGAGCTGCTCATTATGGCCATTCTGTTGAGCCAGGGCCGAGTTGCCTTCATCAGAAAGAGCCACAGGAGTGGGTCCCTGATGGAAACTAACCTTGGGGAAGGGCGGAGGAGAGGGGACAGGCAGCCAGTGTGCATCTGCTCTGTTGACAGCAGTCCATCTCGCTTTCTGTTTCTCCTGTTTCTAGACTCTGGTATTTTTTCCTTTTAACAAATTCTTTGTAATACTTATATAATGCAGAGACCAGGTCGGCAAGCAGTAAGCACTATCTCTGCCTCCAGGGTGAGAGAACAAAAGACACCAGTGAGGCTGTGCTCCTCTGCACATCTATGTACATACATAAAACCCACTGTGATAAAGCAGTGAAATTAACTTCACAGTGCAATAATTCCACTTGATATTTTTTATTGTAACTAACAGTGCTTTAGTACTCTAGACATAAATGCACCACATCTCAGCTAACAGGGTATGGAGGTTATATTTATGTGTTTTTTTGAGCTGTTTGTATTGATGTTGTATTTGTGGTAGATAAGGTAGAACTTTCCCTCCAGAAATACTATAATAACATTTGATTGAAACTGTATTTAGTTATGAATTATGGCATTGTCCCATGAAAGGACATTTATGTGTCTTCACAAACACAGGAGCTGTATCTAAAAGCTATCATTATGCATCCTATAGCATGGTTTATATCTGACTCTTCTTTGAAAAATTTCTTGGAATTATCATGGAAGTATCTTCTGAAGAATATACTTTAACATAAGTTCACTTTCTAAGAAGAACATTTTGTTTTACTGGAAATGTAGTTGTTCTTTAAAAAATTTTCTAGATTCTTTAGACACTTAGCCTTACGTGCAGTAGTCCGCTGTATTCCCAGTTTGCTTTCCATTGTTTCAGTTGCCTGCAGCCAAGCTAAGTTTTGAATAACTTTTATTGTATTATATTGTCATAGTTATTCTATTTTATTGGTAGTTATTATTGTTACTCTCTTACGGTGCCTAATTAATAAGAGATTAATACACAGATTTGTATCTATAGGAAAAATATGCTCTATGTAGGGTGCAGCACTAACTCATTTCCTGCTCCACAAGGAATCTTGGAACATATCTTCTATAGATGAGGGAGCCTACTGTATGTAGTTTCAGGAGTTGTTACGTACTGGTGTGCTTAGGACACCTCTTCACCCTCTAAAACTTAGATGTTGAGAGTGTGGAACATTTCAAATACTAAATTAAATGTTAAAATTTTACTGTTATTTCTTTTTTTTTTTTTTTTTAGGTCGGGAGTTTCATTTTCTCCCCTACGTCACTTTTATTCATTTAATAAGTGTTACATGCTTAGCACATGGCTGGAACTGTATTAAGTTTAGTAGACAAACTAGTGAACAAAACA